TTTTAAATTTCGGGTGGTACTTTACATGAAGCCCTTTAAAGACATTTTCAAAAAAAAATTGCTCCAAATTTTTTAAAATTAAATTTTGATATTGAATAGTGTAAAGGACGTTTAAGAAAATAGTTCAGGTCTAATTTTCGTTGAGATCCCCTATTTTTCGAAAATTGCAATAAAACAAAACTATTTTAAAGCTAAAAAATTGAAGATAGAGATTTTTGCCTTAGACAAAGTCGGTTGTACAGCACTAGCTCTTTAAAAAAGGCCATGTACAATTTGTATTTGAAAAAACGAGGAGTGTATGCATAATTTGAGCTTGAAATGTATTCGATTCTTGATTTTTTTCTCAAAATCCGCTCCAATTTTTTCTTTATATTTTCTCCACTTATGTAATGGAAGAATGTGGAAAAGATGGTGCTAGTATACTTTTCGGCCATTGCTTGGTTTTTCGAAAATTGCAAAATAAAAATCTACAAAATTGAAGACAAGTTTTTGCCGAGACAAAGTGTATTGTACAAAATTATTAATTTTAAAAAAGGCCCTGTACATTTTCTTGAAAAAAAAAAATGTTTGTGTAATTTGCGCTCGACAAGTACGCAATTTTGTTTCTCAAAAACCGCTCCAAATTTTTTCTTTAAATTTTCTCCACGTATGTAGTAAGGGAGCTTTTTCTCTTAATGAAATCTGTTCATTAAAGATAGAATTTGTAATAAGGTTAGGTACAATTTTTAGAAAATTGAATACTTTTCGCGTAATTTTGTGTGAGAATACGGACGAGAAGGTACTTGCTGTTTAAGCACCACTATTTACTTAAAAGTTTCGTTAGAAGCTAAAATTAATGGTAATTGAAAAATGGGGGGGGGGATTTCCCTACTCTCTTCCCCCCCGTGGATCCGTGCCTTGTGACGGCGAGTTAACTTTGAGGATCCCAGTTCGATTCTCGGAGCGGAATTCTTGTTGTCGTTTGAAAACATTTTTTTAGTTTTATGTAGTAGTATAATATAGTGAAGCAGTAAGAAATTAGTGCTTTTGCGAGAAAATATGTGCTTTTGTAGCACTAATTTAAAAAATATTTTTACACGGGTAGGTGCAAATTTTGAAAGACACTGGGTACCCCGTACTTCCCCAGCAAGCGATATTTTTACTCGCTAAAAAATAATAATAATAATAATAATAATAAAAAAATTTTCGTCTCATCCTCTCCGCGGAACCGCCTAAAGGCATTGCAATGAATTAAATTGAATTTGCCTTATTTTACGTGGTGAGACTCGGCCATTAGGCCCGCTCTTCCGTCTGACCACGCAAATTTCGCTAGGCTCCTTTCATCAACTAGCAGAGAAAGGAGGTATTTCTTGGGCGAGAAACAGGCGATTTGAATTGAGCTCAGAGGCGTCATTTAGGCTTGAGGATCTTTTACATGCAAGTAAATCTACTAACATGGGATAGCCGGCTTTACTTCCCCTGAAGGCGTACGAAGAATAATATCGCCCTTAAAAATCCACGGCTTCAATCGGCTTTGAACCCGCGTGGGTATATAACAGTCCGGTACGCTAACCGTTACATCATCGCCACCGCATTTCCAGCATTGCATGGCAGGAAGTGGAATAGTGTCCCATACTCTTGTATCTATTATATCGTGGCGTTAGTCCAGTGAAATCATGAATTTCTCTGTTTCTCCGCGCGTTTTAATTCCATCAATACTCCTGGTGCAAAATTACACACTGCTCTCCAATTGATTGCAGAAGTAAGTATATTTGCAAAATTTTTGGAGTTACACGGCCCACTTCAAGCATCTCGATGGTGACTCGACGTCGAGGTATGGAAGTTGGTCACTGCAAAAACAGCGGTGTGTTCGGCGACCTCGACAGCAGGTTTGCACATACGTAAGGACAGTGAGGGGTATCATCCAGTTTGCACCTATGAAAGTAGGCTCTGAAGCATCCATGACCCGGCAGAAGCTGCGAGAGATAATTTACCCATCCGTGTTTTTGACCGATCCACGATTGAACTGTAGGAATCAGGGATAGATCCACCTTCCCTTGGAGGAAGTGTCCCATCCTGTTGCCATTCTGCTAGTGCTTCCAAGCATAACTTTAGTCGCAACGCCTCTGCCGTTCATGGGCCGTTTTATCTATTGGGATCATCCCGGTACTTCGAGACGATGCGGAAAGCACATGCAACCCTGAGCACAGATAACCGATATTTTAACGCCTATGATTTCTCTTACGAACATGTGACTCAAACTAGTGATCCATAAAGCAGTACCGATGTAACGACTGAAGTAAGCAGCTGTTTCTTTGCATGACTAGCCGCGGCATTAACCTAGTCCACACAGCATTTCGCCACCGCTGCTATAGTCCAAGTGGTCTCGTCTCTAAAGGACAAGAGCGTGACGGTCTTCATTCCGATAAACTGAGTTGGTGAACGAGTGTGCTTATGTTGTTGGTGTATGTGCCTGTCCTACATAGGACACGAACTCGTGGATACCCAAAAGGTCAGCATTCGTGAAATCAAGCTGAGTGTAATAACTCAGCATTTTTGCGTCTCGCCAGCACACGTAATGCGGATGCGTTGAAGGCTTCAAACGCCAGAGCCTTCCTCCTATGAAGTGAAAGCAAATACTATCTACATAGTATTTGGCGTAAGTTCGCAATTAAGCGGGAAGCTCAGGACGCAAAACCTTGAAAAGTGACGTGAAACGTGGTAAATGTAAATTGGAAAATCATCAATCAGCTTATGAAGCAAGTGGAACCTTTTCAGTTTCTCATTAAATGTTTGGGTAGAGACCGCTATGCTACCTAATTGACAGCTACGACACAGGGTATATTTGAAGTGATATTTCAAGGTATACCACAGTATTTAAAAAAAATGTAACGAACTGTACAGAATTATATTGCACATGTTGGTTAGTTGAATACGTTTATGTTTTCTCTACAATGTGCTAGCCCTTACGTTGGTGATACTCAGAACTGTTGCCTTTTGAGAGAAAAATAACGCGTAGTTTTAATTTGACTTAATACAATATTTATCCTTTCTAATAATATTCTTTTATAATTGATTTAATTATCTCGTGTGAAAATTAGGAATGAACAAAGGAATTCACATAAAAGTGGAGATGAAACCTGCTCTTCGGAAGATAGAATTAATGTGTACGAAAATAAAATTAAACTAGGGGAGGGAGGGGGGAGTGAAGGCATTTCAATGTCAGGTTTGATAAGAGAATAACCTCCGAAAACTTCAGTTCATATAGTTTGGAGAGCACTCACAGAATGACCCATTCGAAAATAATAATGTGTAATCGCAACCCTTTAAAAACTGAAGTAATCTCCGCGAGAGCCCCTCATTATTAATAGGGTGCAACTAATGACTCCTGGATCTTATCCTTAGGGGTTGTCCATAAATTACGTAACGCTGAAGAGGGAGAGAAGGGGTCTTAGGGAGCGTTACGCTGCGTTACATTGGGGTAGAGGGGTATTAGTTAAATTACGTAACACTGATATTAAGTTTTTTTTTACATTTTTCAACATTTGCTGAAATTATTCTTTTTTCGAGTTCTATACTAAAATATTAACTTGTTAATTTGTTTTAAAACACAAATAAAGTTATTAATTATAAATTGTTTTAATAAATGGAAATACTTGTTCAACATTTTTTTGAATCGGTAAGGTTACAAAAAAATATTTAAAATTGATATGAAGTATATTCTAGAATCCATTTAATTTGGCGTAGCAGACTCTCGCTCATGCATCATCTAGGATGCAAGCCGCCATCCTGATTGAGGTTTTTCTGGGTTTACTCAATCGCTTAAGGCGTATGCCGGGATGGTCCCTAGGTTTGTTCTCCCAGACGTAAATGTACAGCTTGTCCTCCCCTCTTAAAATGTTACTACTGTAAATGTATGTAAATTCAGTGGTTAGGCGGAAGAGCAGGCCCTATGGCCTGAGCCTCGCCATTAATAAAGACATTATTATTATTATTATTATTATTATTATTATATTATTATTAGGATGGCATGCTTGTGTGCATCTTGTGATCAACCATTTCTCGCCTAAGCATTCTTCCGTCACTCACAACTTACCCTAATCTTATTGTTGGGTGCCACCAGGATTGCCAACTAATTTCTACTTCATCATTAATTTTAATATTCAAAACAAGTAAAATAAATAAAATGTTTTACTGTGCTATAATTTATTTTCTCTTCTTGCATTTACAATGGGGGTTGTCGTAAGCGTTACATAATTGTTTAGTGGGAGTTCTAGCGCGCGTTACGGATGAGTTACAAGAGGAAGAGGGGGTATTGAAAATCCTTTTAATTTGCATGTCGAAATTTATGGACGATCCCTTATAATTTTCAGCATCACCTAACCTTCTGTTTCGTAGCGTACCGAAAGTAAAGTACCGAAACACAGCAGTGCCGTGAAGCGCAGTAAACGCTCGTGTGCGCAGGTATCTAAGTGCGTTGAGTTTGACAACGCGCGTTAACACAACGCTCATGTACCTTCGGTCTAAAGACGCAGAGGGTTGCACTTCTTTCTTTAGTAATATATAATCTAATATTTTTAAAAAAGCTTAACATTTCATTGTCGCTGCTATCAGTAAGCATTTTCTTGACAGACAAGAAAAATAATTCAAGACAATGCTGTCACAGAACCCACAAAGTAACAATTTTTCATCAGGTGAGAATGGAAGATAAATATTTCCTTCAGCTACAAAATACTTAGTGGTGTTCATTCTTTGGATGAATATTAATAAAAAAATGCTTAAAATCTTATCATCCCAAAAGCGGCTTTCCAATTCTTTACACTTACTCAACAAAAAAAAAAAAAGCTACCTAAACATAACCTCCCTAACAGTGCAACTTATATTCATTAGTTTATTTTAAATATTCAAGGACATAATTGATTCATCAATATGAGAACGTTGTTTAGAATATGTTTCATGATCCTTATATGCAGATGGCAGTTTTGAGAAAATTCACATCAAACTTGTTCAACTGCGACAATGACTTTCTTTGCACTTGCATTTCTGTAGCAAGTATTGTAATATAATCTCTAGGCCAATAACCCCATCTCGATCAGGTTTTGTTCAGTTTTTCTGGTCCCTAGAACAAATGCTGAGATGGTGAGATGGCCTCTTGTTTTGCTCCTGAACAGTAATGTAACTTCGCTCTCTCCACCCAAGACATCCTATTAACTAGTCATACATGATTGTAATTGTATATGTGACTCAATAAATATTATTATATTTATTTTCTTCTTAGCATAACAAATTTTATCTACTGTATGTAATAAACAATTGTGTAATTAAAGAAGGTATTTTTACAGCCTTCAGTATTTTAGAAGTATATAATACCCAATTTTCTTTCTAAAACAATTTAAGATTTTTCCCATTTTAAAGAAATATATATTTCATCTAAAGTAATTAACGTAGCTGGAGGAATAAGTAGGAGATTTTCTGAGTTCTAACATATTTTACCATACCGAAACTGTTATGAAATCATCAATTCTGAAGTACGTTACCGAACCGCTCAGGACCTACTTAATTACTAGTGCCTTTAACAATCCAATCTTTACCATTTTCAGATTGTCTGAGCTGCAGTATGTTACTTTTAAAACTGGTACATGGTAATGGCTTAAAAGTGATTGTACAAAAAAAGATAATTAACATAGTTAAAGAAAAATACTCTAACACTTTTATGAACAATTTCAATGTTTTTGCTTTGAATGAGAGTCTTACTATTAGTAAACATTCCCATATAACACACAAGAGTCTTACTAATTCAGCTTCCACATTCAAATTTGTAAACATTATAAAAGTACAGTAACATGCTTCTTAACTTATCAACGTCTGGCCTAATATTTTTTTTTCATCACAAACGTTCATGAAAGAAGGCTTTAAAAGGGGTAGGATTTACATATTCATTCATGCACCAACATTCTTTAACTGAGGAAAAAGTTGAATGAATTTCATGGCATTCACATTACAAATCAATATTTCTTACCACATGAAATAACCACCAGGCTTTTTATTTAAGATTTAAGGAATGTACTGAAGTTTTACAATTTTTATGAAATTAATTGTGCTTAAGTTGTGCTAAAATTTCTCTATTGTCAAGAATTAACATTGGGTTCTCCTTTTTCATTCTGAAGGTGTTTGACTGCTTCCTCTAAGGAAAACAAATGATCATCTACAATACCAGGTGCTAATTTTCTCATTGCCAAAGCTAGCTGCAAAACATATTCTGAATTAGTGCCACTAGGACCTACTGCACTGACAACCTGCTTTGCAATACTGTTAACATCTGCAGGACCTGCAAAAAACTTATTCTGTTCTGATCCTACATAAATAAAAAGTTCAAATGGTGCAACAGTACTTGCACCATCGTCAGAAGCTTTGGGATAAAACATTACTGAAACTTTATCATATCCATCCTTTTCTCTGTAGTCAAGATGATTCATGACAAGTTCTTCATTTTCTTTAGCAATTTCATAGGCAACACCCCACACTTGAGCCTGAAACATCATAGTGTTTAGAAACTGATAGGAATTTGTATATTTTATCTATTATATATACGATCTATAAAATGTTTTACCTCTGGGTCTGATGCTGGAAGCAGTGTCACAACACGACCTGGCTACAGAAAGCACACTATTATAGAATCAATACCTTACAAAGTTTCTCAATCAAAGAACTACACATCTTGAATAAATTCAAAACCGAAGAATCTCAAAAGACGTGTTACATATCTCAAATGCAAATATTCTTTTAAAATATTTGCCAAACGGATAATTGACTGTCAGCTCCAAAATAAGTTAAAAATACATATATTACGTGAGAATGTACTTAAATGCGGTACCTTGCCCGGCACTCCTCTATGGTCTTCGCTCGATTGCCAGAAACGACGAATATAACCTTTGATGTAGCCAACGACACGAGCTTTATATGGAAAGTCAACTTTCCAAACTAATGATCCATATCCAAAAATCCACATTTTGTCACTAGTTGATTATCATTGTAGGACGGCCAACTCGCCTCAGGCGAGGTTGGCGAAGTTGGTAAATTCAACTTCTGCCAACGCTTTCATTTCATAACAACACCGAAACAGCGCAACATCGATGTGATGAAAAAACAACACGGGCGTGCGTGAAAGTAAATCTTGAAAATTCAGCTATTTGGATATTCAGTAAATATATAAATTAGCATATACCGTTTGCCAAAAATTTAAGGAGATTGGTGTGTTTTCGATTAAAAAACTTATTAAAAAATCACAGCACGTAATCATAGGTTAGATCGTATGAAGAGACATCCAGATCATTAAATTAACAAATCTAAAGCAAATTGACCAAGAATTCCCATATAACACATAAAAATGCGCAATGAAATTACAAGTGATAATATTATTGCCCTTAATATAAATAGTGAAAGAGTTGATGTTATCATTAAAAGGTTGACAATTTATGAAGTACTAATAAATTTCAGTTAAAGTAAAAGTAACATGAGTGAAGAATATCCAATTGAAGAATGTTCTACTGTAGTTTTACGTAATACAAGTGTGTAATGTGTTACGATATTGAATGCATTTTTTCTTAATTCCATTTGTGTTTTTGGGGGGGAATATGATGGCACCAAGGTAAATCTTTCATTGATGATATGTTTTTCCATGTTATTCAAATCTTGGTTACCATTTTGATTTAATCTAATTATTGTTTATTTTTTATTCTTCCACCTACTGATATTTTTTTAAGTTAATGAGTGCTTCCTAACACTGTACCTTTGCCTGGCCCCACAACTCCTGTTTTGATACATATACCGTACCTGGAGAGTGCAAAATCTATTACGAAATACAAAATGTTAACTGTGTTTTGTACTCTTTGAACAATTTCATGTTTCTCACTGGCACTCCTATACTATTGTTTCATTCAAAACTGATGTCACATTGCTTGCTAATTCTACTGATTTCACAGTATTTTACTATTTAACATTTCTATCTAGGTCAATTATTTGACTTTTTTGATCAATCAATTACACACATTAATTGACATGATCATGAATTTAACAAAGCTAAAGTAAATTAACCAAGAATCCAGATTAAATATTCAGTATATGCAAGCAAGATTTTTTATGGCTGGCACGGTCTCTTGCATTCCATCTTCCAGAACTTGCGGTCAACCCAATCCTTGCACTGCAGACCTCTAGCCTTCCAAACATTTCTCTCATTTCCAAACTTTTTGAGGCCTTCTGGTATCTTCCATCCTTTGAAGGTGACCATACCACATTAATTGTTTTGTTTCACTTGAGTCTATGATGTTATTTTCAACCTCCATTATTGTACTGATGGTATCATTTTGAACATATTCCATCCTGGAAATGCCACAACTCCTCCAAAAATTCATTTCAAGAGCTAACAGTCTTTGTTTCTTTTATTTAGCTCCCATGTTTCAGAGCCGTATGTACATATACTCTCAGCAAAGTCTTTATACATTGATTTTTTGGTTTTCTTTAAAATTTCGTCGTTCTGTAGCACACAATTCAATTTGCCGCATTGCTCTCTTTCCTTGGCTAATTTTATTTACTATGTCCTCTTTTCTTTTACCTGTCTCAGCTAGTGTCACTCCCAGGTATTTAAAATGTTTCCAATGGCGCATTTTTACTGTTCCTAAATCTTAAGCCATCTACATTTTCGTCACCTGGTACCCAACATTCTGTTTTATAGTATTAATTTCCATTCCCTACTTTCTGTACTCTTTTTGAAGATGTCTGACTATGTAACTGGAGACCTCATTGCCAGCAACTACAACAACTTGTTCATCCACAAATAGTGGGTATAATACAAGGCTTTGTTACAAATGTCTAGTTTGTCAAATGTTGCTAATCTTGGCCTAGAGAAAAAATAATAAATTGGGAAAAGTGCAGGGAAAATAACAATAAGTAATTAGTAGAATTATGTAATTATTTAAAAAATAATATTATTATGCAACATATATATGCTACAAAAGTAATAAACAATGTAATAACTGGAGTGATGATTTTGATGTCCTAAACATAGCCAAAAATGATCAATAAAATGCTCTTAAAATGTTTTAAAAATGTTCTAAACAAAAGAAAAATGACATAAAAAATGTGATCACAAGCAGTTCATATGAACAACACAAACTTGGATTAGGATACTGATGTAATTAAGGTTTCTTCTAATTATTCACGTGAACTCTGCTTACAAACTTTTCGTTTGGACTGTTCTTTACCAGGAAATCTGCCTTTGTTATCCAGAAGTGGGCTGAACTAATAAAGGAGCTGGGATAACTCATTGCATCTCATAAATATTATTTGAAGCAAGTACCATTAAATGATATTAAAATGTATGTCATAAGTGAAAAATGACTTAAAAAGTAGTCTTAACTTAGTTGAAATTATAAAAAATGCAAAAAGAAAAAACAAATTACATATAAAAATGGGTCATTTCCTTTTGTCATAACATAAAATTAATTTCTGTACTAAACAGCATTGTTCTGAAGTGGAAGAAAAAAAAATACATTTCATTAAAATCATAATAATCTACTGATAATAACAAATATGTTTATTATTTAACCAAATCTATGATGGTCCCCTCTAAAATGATCACCTGGAACTGTCACAGGTATAGATGTCTAAGATCCTAGCGACAAATATTCAAAAACATTACATTGTGTGTGAATAGTTTTCAATATTTGAATTTGAAAAAACACAAGCTAAAGGAAAGATTTCTGAACATACTTTAAACCATAAGCAGGTAAAAAAATTAAAGAAACGAGGACCGTAAGGTCCTTCCTTCCTTTCTTTTTCAGCTCTATTCATAAATAAGGTAACAAGGGTATGGCTTGTGCCATGAATGGTATTGCCAAATGATGACACCTTTGTGCAATACCAACGTGCAATTTTACTTCAAACTATTATTTAAAATATATTTTCAAAAGCTTTTATTAGCTTAAACATTGTAATTTTTGTTATTTGCTGAAACAAAATAACTCTTATAGCTTTTTGTTTCTAACTTTCACATTTATAATTTTTTTCAGGGGTGCATTGTACTATTGTTCCAGGCCCAAAATTGTCTAGCTTCAGCACTGTCTGTAAGAAAAATTGTCATGTTTGACCAATTGATTAAAATTGTGATTATGTACATATAATTAATATTTGTTAGAATTACATTATTTCCATGCAAATTAATGTTTTTCCAATGTATTTACTTTGTTAATGTACATTATAACATTTTTGATGTCAGACTATAGTGTCTATAATAATATATGATTAAATTATGTTTTTATTGCAGTTTTAATTGATTTGATTACTTCAACTACTACTTCTTTTCTTCAACTAGTTTCAATATTGGTTGTCTGTAGCCAGTCATATGGCCAAGATTGTTAGGGTAATAGTGCCGTTGCAGTCTCAGACCAGAAGACCATGGTTTCAAGTTCACCCTCTGGCATGTGTATGTCTATAGGTGTGTGCTGCTCTTTCATCTCCCACCACCACCATCATCATCTCATTGTCCATACCCTCAGGGCTAACAACCTTGTGCGTTAAAAATCAGGATTCAGCTAAACTGCTGCAAAATAAAACAAATGTTGAAAGATTAAGGTAGGTAATTTACTTACACAGCGTGGATAGTGTTAATGCGGTATGTGTTGTAGGAAATGTGTAGTAATTATATTTTTTCTCTTTATTACCAGATTCAGTAATCAGCGAAAATCAGTAGTACTTTCATCAGAATTTTTTTATGCTGGCGTGCATGTCTGTTAAAACAAATATAATAACAATTTAAGTTAAAACCTTCTAACATGTTAGTTAAAACCCCCTGAGTTTTTGACCTTTCAGACCCTGTGCTAACTTCGAAACAGGTATTTTTTCAGACTTTTTCGTTTTTTCGATATAGTTCTTTAATCTTCAGTCTTTTAGAAAAATGATCCCAATCAATTTTACAGGAATAAAATTTCGTATTACTTTTGTCTGAAACATTTTTATCATAGGTAATACCACGAGTGCTTTGGAATTTATCTGAGAATTTTCAAAGCACGAGTGGTACAGGACAATTCCACGAGTTAAATTATTTCTAAGAGGTCCAAAATGCGCCAAATATTGAAAATAACTGAAAACTGTGTTAAAATCAAAGAGGTTCCTTTGCTGTTTATTGGACATCGACATATACCGCCTCCTAAGATGAATTACAGTTTAAGATAGACCAGTAGGAAGCAGCGGAAGAAAAAGTGATAAACTTTTTGATATACCGCCCTGATGGTGCATTTTGTATGTATAGTTAAACATAATTGGTTTTAATTTCTCATGTGGAATAGTCGAAACCAATTTACAAGGGATCTACAACTAAAAAAGAAAGAAAAAAAAACACGCAATTTTAATCACTTTATATTATATTTATAACAATAACATTTAATTATATTATTTAACTCGCCGTCTGGGTAAATATAATGTATTAATTGTGGATATTATATCTATATAGCCGTCGGGGTAAATATAACGTACCAATTGCGGAAATTACAAAAAAAAAAACACGTGTGTGTGCGCGCGCGCTGCATCTTAACTTTTCACAAAGCGGGAACAATGTCATTTCAACAAAAATTCGTATACACTATTATAGGGGAAAATAAAACTGGGGGTATACCCCTAGAGGAATGGAAGAGAAGGGAGTTACATTTACAAACAAAACCATTATGCAACTCACAAAGAACATACCCCATGCAGGGCGCACTGAGCGGGCACAGTGGACGAGACGGGCAACTGTTTAATAGAGAATTTTATTAATAATAATAATAATAATAATAATAATAATATTTATTGATTCACATATACAATTACAATCGTGTATGACGAGTCAATATGATGCCTTGGGTGGAGAGAGCGAAGTTATATTATTGTTCAGGAGCAAACAAGGGGGCCATCTCAGCATTTGCTCAAAGGATCAGGGAAACTGAACAAAACCTGATCGAGATGGGGTCATTGGCCTAGAAATACAATATTTGTTACAGTTAGATTAAGATATTATACAGTAAATAAATGATCTGCTAATAATTAACATTTCAATATGATATTTTAATGCTACTACTTATAATAATTATATTAATAATTACATTAATAATAATAATAATTACAATTATAATACATATCAATTATGTTTGCAACTACATCAAATTAAATAAATACTCGGGCAACACCGGATATATCTCGATAAATAATAAGTAAATAATGAAAATGTACTTCGCCTACTGGTGTCAGACAGATCGGATGAAGTTTACAATAGACAAGACGAGGTGGCTGGGATATGTGAAGAACGTTACGGTGACGAGAAATAACCTATGTGATAAACACGAATAATAATACCGGTGAGATGTGTAAGGCCAGTGACAGACAGACAGGATGTATAATTTTGAGAAATTTGTTTCAACCAACCACCCAATGTACGAAAGTTTTACTGGAATTTATACTGGGTTCTAGGGAACTCCGGTACAACTACACAAAATAAATGCACAATGTAGTATTTTACGATTTTTTCTTTCGCTATTAATTTTCTGTTTGATGAGAAATTGTTAGTAGGTAGAGAGGGATATAACCGACCAGAGAAGGAAATGAAAGTAGTAAATAACTAAAATGAAATGTAATATTCTAGATAACGTTGTACATTAAAAAAAATGTTTATCTTTCTTATTTAAGTGTCATATTAAAGTAATAACATTATTCAACATTGTAAGAAAAATATTTCGCCGGTTTTCTCTTGAGCGAAATTGTGATCGATAAATAAAAGGCTATTCTCAATCTCGCCAGTTTCAGAGCAATTGTCACATGCGTGCTCGGAACTGTTTGCCTACAGGGCAATTCAGTTCAGGTTTTCTGCAGCTACATAACCTAACTAAGCCATTTGATCATATGAAATAAGGGTTCTTAAGGCGCATTTCGTATTATTTTATGTATCCGGACACGAGTGTCCTAGACCCCCAAAATGCTTTGCCTTCCTAAATTTTACTTGGCAGTAGGTGCGACATTAATGTTCGCAGGCTGCATCACATGTAGGTGGGTTTATGGCAAGACAAAAGATTTTATCACCGACTTCGAAAGTCGTGATAACTGAGATCGTTCGGTGCGCACATGTTCTTAATTTCTTTTCCGCACAAATACACAAAAAGATTTCATCTGCTTTAGAAATGTTTGCTGTAGCTTCTGTCTGATAACGCAGAATATTTCAGACAAATCAACCGTTTTCGATAAGTACTGCTGAGTAGATCCTTGTACTGTCCACACTGGATGACAAAAACATTGGAAAAAGTATGTTCTCAGTTATATTTGAATGATTTTGATGAATGAGACTTCTTTTCTTCCATAAAAATAGATGTCTTGATAAGGAGTTCGTTCTGTCAGTTGAGCCACCCCTTCATGAATGATGGTAACACTATCAGGCTTTGTATCGTATGAGTATATTGCAGTATTTACTATCGCGACTTAGTAAATTGTTCATATCTTTATGGAAATTATTAAAAGGACATTTTTTACATTATGGATTCTCTTATGTTATTTCCAAAATGATTCCGAGATTGACAAGCATTTTTAAATTACAATTTATTGAGGTTAAATTGCAACAAAACATTTACATTAAATAAGGTGAATTCAACCATTTGTGAATAAATTGTAACTAATTATTGAAAACCTACTTAATATTAAACACCATAATTCATTATTGTATTTGTTCAAAATGGCAAATGCAAATATCATTCACACTTGCTTTAAACATCTTAATATGTTTTGTTTAAATGAAGAAAATTAATTCGCTTTATTAATTAGTATTTGGCTTTTCTGCTGAATGAATAATAAATAAAAAAAACTAGTTTGTCACTAAAGTGACACTTTGTTGTTAAATTTGTACAGTACTATTTACAATATTATTCATAAGAAAAAACCCTTTTAGACAATTAACATATGTTATTCAGAATATTAAATTTCAGCTTTTAATAGGAGAAAATACCTAAATTTCTGTGAAAAGAATGTCTCGTAAGCTTTCGAATTTCCAAACCTGCCTAGGCCATAAACGCATAACATTCGTGCAGGGTTCAACTGATTATAAATGAAAATAATTTCATACATTGTATAAAGTTTATGACAAGTGAACAGTTCATTATAGTTCTTGTAAAGGATGCAATTCGACTTCATAATAGAACACGGTACAACTTAAGGAAGCTCTTTTTAATCGGTACTTCACGCCGCTCAAGGGAAAAATTCATAGTGGGAGGTTGAGGAGTAGTTCAGGATTTTGGTAGTCACGGGTAGTGACCAATTTACGTCCTTTGGTTGGTCCTTTCTTCATTACGTAATTTCACATCCTAGTACCTTGTCGAAGCACCCTTATTTTATTAAAAAGAAAGTTCACAGCAGTAATTTTACATTTTATTTTGATTTTTTGTGTTTCGGGGTGGCTGTCACAGTGGTTATCTAATTTCCTGCCTAACAATTACGTTTTTTGTGCTTTTCTGATTTGTTGTGATTTATGTTTTTTGAACACATGTTCTACAATGGTGAGAAAAATGTATTGCTTTTTACGTGCATCACCGAAAGGCGTGTTTGATTTTCATAATTTTAGAGGGAAGGCTTAAAGAGACACCTATTACTTCCTCTTGTACCATCTTACTCTCCCCTCACCCTTTCACCACTCTTTTGTCTAAGTGTACAGTGTTTTCTACTTTAACTCGTAATTCTAATAGCTAGTACATTTAAAAGACTTTTTGCACGAGGAAGCGTACAGCAATCGTTAGCAATATCTCAACTACTCTACACCACTTTGGTGCGCATTCACAGCTCGAACTAAGAAGGAACAGAAGGTCGATATTGCTGTCGAATCATTGAGTGTAACTGATTTCGGTCGATGTTAGTACTACATTTAGACTTCGTTTATAAAAAATGACAAAAGTATCATCACTTACTCGAATCTTGGACGGTGGTCTGTCTTCAGGAAATCTCGTACGACGGACGGACGGTGACCTTGGATGGAGTCTTCCTGTCACTCGAATGACAGAGCCCCACGAGCAGCCCACGAGCAAGCCCTCGCAACAGGCGTTTCCTGCCTGCATCCATAAAATCTGTAGGTTGATTCCCCAAACCTTGAATTTTGTTGCAGTTCCGCGTATCGAGTAAGTTCGGTGAACTTTCGACTCTTGGGCGAGAGGCAATAGCTTCAGTTAACTCCATTCTGTTCAGTCACAAATAAAATATTTTCACTATGTAATGAACGTTCGCTATTGAAATTGGCACACGCAAATGTTCGGTTTCATCAGACGTACAAACACGCTTACGGAGTACTCGCATTGTTCGTCCCAGACTTACATAGTGATTTTCGACTTACATAGTGTTCGTCCCAGATACGTGAAATTTTTTCCATGAAGCAAATGAAACCGGTATTACAAACACTTTGTCTTTCTCGCTACGGATTTGAATATTGTACTTTCACAAACAGTCGCTTGAGTAAAATTAGCTTAGTTCCTATTGCATATCCCGTTACGAATATGTCCAACTTGCTAAAATCATACACCGTAGCTAGCTTCTGAAATTCCTAGTTGCAGAACACTGGTTAATCGCGACGTCACTCCCGTTTCCACAACGCATCTAGTCGTTCCGAATGTCCGTTAGCGAAAATCTCTCATGGCAGGCGTCTTCCAAGCTTGCAATGCAAGTGATCTGCTCCCTGACCAATCACAATGGTGGATATTTATTCGGATGCCGACCAAGGCGGCCGTAGCTTCCAAGCACCAAATTTTGTAATGGGAAGTTAGTTCATCACCTCGTCCGCCAGGGATCGCAACCATGCGCCCTACGACTGTCAAAGGGCGGAGGGAACAACTTAGTTCAGTTTATGGCCGGCGGTTGGGCTGAATATGTGTCTTATTACATACTTTGGGAATGTTGTGCTACCGCCTTTCAAAAAAGTTAAAGAAAAGTATTTGAGTATTTGTTTGAGATAAACTTGTTTACATATTCGTGTAAAATGGCTAAAAGTTATTAAAAATTACTCAAAAAATACTCATAACATAACCTCTCATAATCTAAATATCCTACCATAACATAAATCTCATAATCTAAACATCTAAATTGAAATACAAATTCCAAACAGAAAAATGTTTAACTTCAATAATGTAGTTGAACGAAAATATCGAAAACATAAACTTCTGCAATCTTCGAAAATGTAAAGAGATTAATGAAATTAGGACATGTCCCCTATTTAGAGGCGAACTTTGCTCTATTCGAGTAAAAAAAAAAACTCTCCAAAATTAAACGATTTGTCTCAAAACGATCTAATGTTCCAACAGCCTAAAATCTTACCCCAAACTAGGGTCACGCCCTATTCAGTGCTGTCGTAATATGCACCCCGTTTCCATGAAGTCAGAAATTTTTGTTTGTCTTCATTTGTATTTAAAACAATGTAGACTTTTTCTTTCACAATACGTAGAAATATTTTCAGAGCTGCGATTCAATATAAGCACTATCTTATGGATGTTATAGTAGAACAGAAATTGTCAAGGAACTACTGTGCAGAAACGAAGCGTTTTCAGCAAAATGTCGTATAACACATTTGTTCATCTAACCGCGGAAAATACTGTGATATGTATTTTTACCACCTTTAATTACTCACCTGTAATCTTGTACGTACTCCAACATTCCTACCTTATCAGACTCGGATCTCGGGCTCAGGATACCTGTGGTAAGTAGGTCGCAACCCCTTCCACCATTTAATAATAATAATAATAATAATAATAATAATAATAATAATAATAATTAATAATAATAATAATTAATAATAATAATTTATTGGCATTATCGTTACTTGCGTGATGCTTTCATTATAGGAGCCATTTGTGGAAAGCGAACTCGCTAGCCAGAAGCCACCAGGGGGGCTATATATACATTGCATAAAATTAATTTTCTCTAAAAGTTTATAATTAATTAATAAAAAAATATAAAACAGAATAGGATTTATTATACGGGTTTTATCTTATAGTACTTGCCGAGTTAAACAAGCATTCTCATACATTCCACCCTTACGTGAACACGGGCTATACATATTTTCCACTTGGCACCACACGTATATTATGTACGTGATATCTCACGTTGTGGCGACGTATGACTTCACGTGCTGAAGGTCAATTTTTTGTTTCATTCTTTCACTTTTGCTGTATTAAATCACGTATTCCTTATTTGATATGCGTTATAGTTTAAATGTTATTGTAACTTGCAACACAAATTCGTAACATCGGTTTTCATATAATTTCCCTTATACTGGATCTACATTGTAAGATGTGATCAATATGAAATTATCGTTCTAAATAATTCTGTGTTTGATTTGCCTGAGTTTCGTTCACGGGGGGGGGGCGGATTATAGCACATAACATGGAAAGAAAGTTTCCAGGAATATAATAATGAAAGAAACAAGTTTCAAAAAATATAAACCTGCTTTCAGTAAAATTTTCAAGAAAATATATCGTGACAAGAAAATATATTTTGCCTGGCCAATATTGTTCATAGAACTATAATAAGAAATGGCCTTTTTGATACAGATTTGTTAACTTTGTTACAGCTGTTTTTGCAGCATATTTGCTTTCAACATTAAGTTCTTTAATTAATGCCAGGTACATGTTTATGAATTAGAAGTTTTCTACTAATTTTCAGTAAAATATGGGTAATATTAGAAACAGAAATTTCTCAAAAATGGCTCTAAGTTTTTTCTTTAAACATTTTATAAGCATAGTGCTAAATGCGATATATACTCTGCTAAATGCACTTAATGCGTAACATGCACGCTATTTTGATGTACTCTTTTCCTTTTTCAAAAATTACACAAATGTATTTTTTGAAATATCTGCCACGTTAATACTTACATTACTGTCCTTTTTATATATTATTACATTTGTGAGTGCAAGTGCTTCAAAACGTTTCTTGAAAAGTTTCTTGAAAGCAACATTTGTGTAAAAATAACCTCAAAATGCATATTTTCCGAAAAACTCAAACGACATTTCCTTGAAAAGGACTACAAACTATTTAATGAAAATTTACATATAGAAACTGGTCTTACTGTTTTATAATATTCCTTAAGTCATAATAGAACTATATAATTAGGAGAAAGCAAAATTGATAAAATGAGAAAAAATGTACGTGTTTTTGATAAAATATCATTATAAATAGTATGTGAACGTAAACTAAATCATTGCGTAAACTGATACGTGCTGCTAATATTATGTTTTACTACATTTTATCTGGGATTAGTTAATTTTGATGAAATTGCACATTACCGACAACAATGTTGAAAAATTTTAATGCTAAAGAAACTTTGTTTGCATTGTTTCTATGAAAATGAATCGCGTGGAACAATTAAAATACATAGATTCAATACCGCAAAGCCCATTCCAGGCCAAAAAAGGTCAGGCTCAAATGTATTATTGATTTAAGCAAATTATTTTTCTGTTATTATTATGTTACAAAGCTATCCTAACTGGGATGGTCGAGTTGGCTAGAACGTGTGCTGACTCAACGCCTGGGTCGGAAGGATCGCAGGTTCGAGGCCCGCCATAGGCAGTCTCATGTGTTTCATGTGTGTGTGTTGTCGCAGAAGGCCTTGCGAGTATGCTGACCACAGACTGAGGAGCCCGCAAGTGTGTGTGAGTGTCTAGTGTAAAGGTAAATACGTGTCCCCACGAGGGGCACAGTGGATAACCGACGCGAATAGTCGAAAACAAGCATCCCCTAAAGCTGGAAGAGCCCCCGGAAGAAAAAAAAATCATGTTGTAAAGCCGTAACAGGTTTACATTCGAGTGATTCTATCTCGCAAGACTGGAGCTTGCGGTAGGTGAACCAAAGTATGTAGACTGTGTAACGCTGTGGGTTCGAAACCCGCGTCAGTCATGAATGCTTTCGGTTGTGTTTGAGTGGGGGCACTCTGAATCGCACTCTACTTCCATAATCTCGTGACCTGACAGGCAACTGTGTGTTTAATTGAACTGGATCCCACACGACAGTGATGGATACCCCGAGGTGGGGCCAAGAAATACCATGGACAAATATATGAAAGTTCAGCCCAAGAGGCAATATCTTAGGTGCGTGAAGGTGCTGTTCACTAGACCGCAGATGAGCGATAGGGTCCGCGAGAGGCTCTGACAGTCTTTTAGACGCCGAAGAAAACATGAAAGGTACTAGTCCGAGAAAGTTTGTGTCATTATGTGGCACCACTAGATTATTTATGTAGTCGATTTTTCATTGTCAATCCCCCACAACTAAATGTGTGGGGCGTGTGATTTTATTACCATTTCTCCCTGGCCCTTTATGGTATTAAATGATTTTAATCAAGAAGTAGAATGAAATTTAATAAACTTACACAAAGTAATATAAAATTCACTGCTGGTAGCAAAATTAGCATTGAAAGGAAAAAAGGTTTTGAAAAGAACTACAAGTTGAAATTCAAAAACTTGTAATAATTGAATACTGTATTGGGTTTGGTTTTGAAAAGCAAACACAACTGTTAATACTTTACAAAGAAATGCCAACAATAATATTAATGAATATAAACAAAGTGTTCACAGTATCTCTACTGCAATGAAGTGTAATTAACTTTTCACTATTGCACATTTGACTTTGAGCCTACATTCACATGAGCACAAGAATTAAAGCACTCCATGTAGGAATTACAAAACCAACATAACATTAACTAAATGTACATATAAAATCTATTCTTATGAAAACCAGTGCCAAAATTTGTTTTGCTTATGGATGAAAACATTTTTGTCATAGTTTAACAATGAACATATTTTCATATTTCTTTTTATATAAAAAGACAAACATAACACATGAATTAAATCAACATGATTTACTCAACTATACTATGCAAAGATTAAGCATTCCTGAAAGAGTATAAAAATTTGAAAGTGAAATGATGACTATTTCTTTGACTGAATTGTAATGAATATTGAATTAATTTAGTTTTTGTTTTTATATTGATAAGATTTTGGTAACGTGATTACAATTGCATAAATATATTTAAATATATGTATAACTTACTGTTTGTATTATTTATAAAGTTAATGAAAACAGTCCACAATTTTATGCTCATTTATATGACTTAGAACAGAAGCTGAGACGGATAGCAAATTAGTAATGTACAAGAGACCCTAAAATGCATTATGCCCACTGAAACAATACTGATAACAGTTGCACTTCTTAAAGTAACATAGTGTATCTTTACAGCTCTAGTTTTTCTTGCCATCATATTTTTCAAGAGAGGAAATTGTTTGGCTTTTCTTTAAAACATCTTGTACATAAGTATTGTATATTACAGAAATATAATGCGTAGCACAGACAATGGAGAACACCAGATGAAGCTAACACAGAACAGAATGTACTTACAGAATAAATTTATCACACACAATGAAATGATCACATTTAGACTTTTCGTAATATATTTTGATATAATACTATTGTGTATTCTGTTTCCTTCCTTACAGATACGATTACAGATAATTCTAAATATCTGTAATCAATGCCCATTAAATAAAACCAGCTATATTCTGTAATTTGTACAATAAAAGGGTTTCTTAACATTTAAGACGTAACTATTTACACTTTCACAGAGAAATGTAAACTCTTTTGTAAACTAAGCAATAATCCGCTTTTTGTCACTATGTTCGCAACACTTGAACTACAAGCTATATAAAAGTACAGTTATTGTAATAGACACCTCCTCACCCACGCAACCAATCAGCAGAGGCATACATGTTGATTCACTTCACTTTTGCAACATTTGAAGAAAACATGATATACCACGTACACAGACTATCAGGGAATTTAAAACATATTTTAAAATTTTAAAATTTCACAATGTTTCTCACGCTGCTGATTCCAACATCACATTACACCGCGTTTTTAAGCACATTTCTCTAGGAGATGATTCGCGAGAGGGTGGTGCACTCGTCAAGCCCTCCTGTCAGTAGCACTCGTTCGCAGTGAAGTGACGTCTGTGCGTGAAGTGAGTCCTCCCTTGTCCGCCAGGAGCGCGGCACTCCACTTCCGGCGCCGCCCGGTGTTCGCCCTCACCCGCTCTCCGCCGCCCCAGCAGCGGCGTCCACCGATCGACGTTCGAACGCGCATACGAAGATAAGTTACACAACGACATAGCTAACCTTAAAAGATACTAAGTACAAACGGGGACGAGCAAAAGCACGGGGCAGCCTAAAAGTACTAGGAGGCCGTCGAGTACCAGTTGGTGGAGTTCTTGAGCGCCTCGGGGTAGACGGTGGCGGTGGCGGTGACGGTCTTGTTGGCGGCGGGGTGGTAGAGGTGGAAGCCGGCGCCGGCGGCGGAGTGGTGGTAGAACTGCGACTGGTCGAGGGAGGTGGAGGCGGCGTAGGCGGCGGCGGCGTCCAGCGCGCTGTGGTGCACGGCCGAGTACACCTGCGGCTTGAGCGGTAGCGGCTGCGCGGGCGCCTCGCCCCGCCGCGCCCGCGCGCCGCCCCCGCCCCCCGCCCGCCGCCCGCCGCCAGGTACTGGTGGGCGCAGCATGTCGAGTTAGGGGCTGTCGAGGCGGGGCGGCGGCGGGGCGTGCAGCTGCCTGCTGGTGCTGAGTCGCGCGGCGACACGACGACGGCGGCGTTCATCCGCCGAGTGGTAGTCACGGCGTAGCCGCCCGTCGACGAGTACGAGGAGACGAGGCTGTTGAAAGGCGTCGGCGCCGCCCGTTGACGGCGCCGCTCTTGTGCGCCAGCACCGAACTGGTGGTCGCCGTTACGCCGAGGAGGCGTCCGCTGCCGGGCGGCGTGGGCAGCGGGCCCACCTGCCCCACGTCGCCGCGTAGAAGCGGCCCGGCGCGCCGGCCCGCCGCCGGCCGCGCGCCTCCCGGGCGGGCCCACGCCGCCGCGCGCGCCGCCGCCGCCCGCGCCCGCCGCCGCGCCCCGCGTGCACGTTGGCGCGATGACGCTCTCGCGTTGGCGTAGAGCTGGCACGCCCCAGCCAGCGCGGACCAGGCAGCGCCGCAGCGCCGCCCCGCGCCCCGGCCGCGCCCTTGCCCCGCCGCCGCCGCCGCCTGCGCCGCCTGCGCCGCCGCAGCTGCTGCGCGTGTTGAGGCGAGTTGAGCGTTGGTGGGGGTTGCGCGCCGATCCACTGGATTGGTGCTGCCGCTGCTGCTGCTGCTATGAGCAGCGCGGCGGCCGCTGAAGTCCGTGGCGCTGCGTGCTTTGGTGCGGCTGCAGCGAGACGGGCGCGGGACACCCGAGCCCTTGCCGCTGAGCGCCCGCGCGGGCAGGTTGCTTGGACATGGCTGGGCTCCAGGTCCTTTGACGACGTGCGCCGGCTCCCGCGCCCGCCCCCGGCACCGGACGCCGCGTCCGTCGTCCCCTTGGGGCTGGGCTCCGCCGCGGGGCGCGCCGCTGCGGCGGCGGCTGGCCGCGGCGGCGGCGGCCGGCGCGGCGGCCCGGCGGATGCCCGCCGGCCCGGCGGGCGCGCGGAGGCGGAGATGGCAGCGGCGGCGGCGCGGCGGCGGGCTTAGCGAGGGCAGGGCGCAGGCCCGTGCCCGGGGCCCGCGCGCGCGCCCCGCCCTGCGCCCCCGCCCCCCGCTCCTCCTCGTCGTCGTCCTCGTCGTCCGACGAGCAGCAGCTGCTGTCGTCGTCGTGGACGGCCGTCAGCTTCCGTTTGTGACCGCGCCGGTCGTTGGACGCAGCTGACAGCTCCTTGTCCACCGACGCCATCTTCTTAAGCGCGCCCACCAGACCGCCGGCCAGCTGAAACAAAAGCATTGCGTTACCTTCCGTATTCGAATTGAGGGTAGAGGAGACCAGCCCTTTATGGTCAATATAAATATTCACAAAGGACATTAACAATTTTACGTGAAATGAAATATTCATACGAATCTTTAGAATGATACATTGCTTTCACTACCTGAACATATGAACACATTGTTGATTAGAAAATTAGCTAAAATACTGGACTAACGAGAGAAGCGCGAACACTGAGGTCACATATAAACATGTTTAAATAAAATGCGACAGGTACTAGTGTAAAAATGATTGACAATGATCTGTATTTTGCGTTACGAGTGTATAATTTAATTATGTATTAATATACTTATTTTAGCGGGCTTCATCCATCCGATTTTGTTAGTATAGTAGAATTTCGCATCAACTTCCTAATTGTTAAATTCGTATTCTCTTTGTTGAAGACTTCATTCTTTGTATGGCACACTCCTTAATATTTATGCCCTTCGCAAAACTGCCGCATCGTTTTCGTTTTTGGTAAGCTGCCTTTTTTGAGAACTCTAATTTGTTTTTTTCAAGTTCTATTTCTTTTCGTTCTCTATATCTGGAATAATTTCACTTCTTCCTTATTTAACTACAGTGTACGCTGGAAAATGATATATACATCCTTTAGTCTTTGAATATAATGTAATAAATTGTATGTACTTAAATGATATTTCACATAAGCGTAGTAATTATTAAAAGCCAATACCGTAAAAATCCTCGTGATCCCTTAATATTCCATTTTCAAGAGGAGGAAAACGGAGCCATAGTAAATTAGTAAATGTTTTACCAGTGGCGGTCGGTGGGTAGCAAATTAAGAGGGGCGGCATATATGTCCAAACAATCACATACATATTATATCTTCAAACTTTTCTTGAACAATGAAAAACTACAGCATGTAGTGTACAACCGACTTGCATGCATCTGTATTTTAATCTTTGTTCTAAGATAACTTTTACGTTGATAACGGAAGATACAGTTGTGCTCACGCGAAAGTAAGAGTTAAAAAAATATTTTCAGCAAATAAACTAATTTATGAAATTAAATGGTAAAGGCCGGTATTCTTAGCCAAGTAATAAGCGTGGTCTTTGCCGAAGAAAACCCTATTAGCAGCACTCAGCCCCCACCCAATTCCGAGAACCCCCACCCTTCCTCAAGCTTCCATTGCCTCGCAAACAACAGCAACAGACGGACTCGTGGTAGTCCACGATACGACCCATTCTAAAAACATTTTATCTTTTGTTTAAGCGGAAACATATAACTTAATTCATCCTCAATACTGCACTGATGGTATGCACAAATTAAATGAGTCGATTTATTGAAAGTTTAATACTTTCAGCAACTTTTCCCGAGATTGTTTGGTCTGGGGATGGCGCCGCCGTAGAACCCTTAAGGACCAGCCACCACTGCTCTGGACGCATGTTGACCATTTTGTTTAGAAGTTGCATTCATGTTTGATTGTTAATGAAAATTAAACCTTTTATCAATACTGGATTAAATTGCGGCAAATGTATTCCGAAACCTTCATAATTGTATTCAATTTGCCCGAATATTTTAATTGAACAAGTCTGTTTATACTATTACGGACTTTTGAGATGTAATTTTCCAAGTCCATTAACACATTTGTCTTTATGAACACAACATGCAGACATATCAGAAAACAGTTGTGATATATACACGCCATCGTTAGAAACAGAAAGAGATTTGTGATTATTTAATCTCTACATACGTGTAAATACTGTGAATTTGACTACTTGGCCAATATTTTTGTTAAGACAAAGGAGAATGTTGACATTTGCTCAGAAGGAAATCAGAATTGTCCCACACAATACGAAAGCTTAAAACATGAAAATAGCATTTGAAAAATGTTATGTGTTTCATTTCTGCAGATGGAAAATTTCAGAGAACACATTCATGCATTTTGTAAGATTAAACTATTGTTTTTTTACAAATGAGATTGAATCTGTACAGATAAATGGAGAAGACTTGTTTGGCTTTTACTGGACGAAAATACAGCTGCCTATTTTTTATTTCTATTAATGAACATTGAAAAGATACTGGGGAAAGGAATTTATTACATATCATGTACGTATTTTAGTAAAATGAAACACAAAACAGTACAAAGTGTTTGTACTGTTTGTGTTGTGTACTGTGTGCTGCGTTTGTACTGTGTGCTGCGTTTGTACTGTGTGCTGCGTTGATGATTATATTTGAAAGTATTTATGAAAAACGCGGATCCGGTATGATTCTGAGATAGTTCGGAAGAAGCGACATAGATTGTATTCTATCAACAGTGAAACGAATTAATATGCATGCATAATATTCCATAATAGATCCTTAGACAAAGTAAGAGAAACTGTCTCGTAGTGTTACTAATTAAAAGACTTGAGATCTTTCGTGCCGCGTTCTCTTTGGATGGTTCGTTTGCGACGGTCGTCTGAGGTCAGGAGTCACCTTAGCAACGGCTCGTGAGACGGGGAACGCCTTGCACCAAACTATAATGAATGATTCGCTATTGATAAAAGCACATTTAGGCGAATTTAGTATTCGAGCTCCCGGACGGTTGCGTAGGGGAAGAGAGACGCGCGAGTGCAAAGAAAGTGAGCGAAAAAGAATATTAAAGAGGAAAAGAGGGAAGGGGAATGGAAGTGGTGAAGAAATAGGGAGAAATTCGCGAGTAAGGATCAGAGAAAAAAATGTTCGAAGGAGGTAAAAGAACTAGCTGGGCGAGTGGCTCTCATAGACGAACTTGGCCAGAACATTGAAAGGACGAGGAGGGGGGGCGAAGAGGCGAATTTGGCAGGGTATTGAAGGGGTGAGGGTGGGCGAGCTCGAAAGGGCAAAGGTCGAACAAGGAAAAGGGGGGGGGAGAGGTTTGAAGGGTAGAGAATCGGTGAAGGGTTCTTAGGATGGAGATGAACAGGGAATGGAAGCGCCAAGAGGATGGTTGTGATGAGGGGTCACAGGGGTGGAGGGATAAGGGGTACAGGGTCAAAGGGGTGAAGGTAAACGGCATTGAAGGGTGGATAGGACCGAAGGGCCGTGGTTTGCCGGTGAGGTCGGAGGGGCAACGGTGAATACGGACTGGTCGAGCAAAGAGGATCGATGGCGGAAGGGTGGGGGGAGAGAGGCGGAGGTAGAGTGTCGAAGGAATGTAAGTGAACAGGGAATCGAAGGTCCAAGAGGATAGAAGGGCCGAGAGGATAGAAGGGCCGAGAGGATAGAAGGGCCAAGAGGACTGAAGGGCCGAGAGGATTGAAGGGCCGAGAGGATTGAAGGGCCGAGAGGACTGATGGGCTGAGAGGATTCAAGGGCCGAGAGGATGGAAGGGGCCGAGAGGATTGAAAGGGCCAAGAGGATTGAAGGGCCGAGAGGATTGAAGGGCCGAGAGGATAGAAGGGCCGAGAGGATTAAAGGGCCGAGAGGATGGAAGGGGCCGAGAGGATTGAAAGGGCCGAGAGGATCGAAGGGCCGAGAGGATTGAAGGGAGGGGACTGAAGGGGCGAGGGGGCGTGGCGCGCTCACCTGCGCGGCGTCGGCGGCGGCGTTGGCCTGCGCCTGCTGCTGTTGCTGCTGGGCCGTGGGCGGCTGGGGCGGCGGCGGCGGCTGGGCGGCGGGGCCCGGGCCCCGGTGGCGGCGTGCGCGCTGGTAGGTTGGCGCGGCGCGCGCGCGCGGCCGTGCGGGGGTTGCTTGGCGCTCGCCCCGGCGCCTCGGCCGCGCCGTCTCCAGCCCCGGGGAGCGGCGCTTCGGCCGCGGCGGGTGCGCCGGCCCGCCGCTGCTGCGCCCTGCGCACGCGGCCCGCGCCCAGCGCCCCCTCACTCGCTGCACCTCGCTGCGCCGCAACAGGTGCGTGTCGCTGGCGTGCGCCCCCGCCCGCGCGCGGACGCGGACGCTCGCAAGCGCTGCCCCGCGCGCCCCTCACGCGTTATTAACAGGTAGTCTCACACCAAACAGAATGGAAAAGTATTTGACAAAAATGTCGCGGTTTAGTGAGTATGCAAGGCTATACAGTCGGGGCTGGATGTCCACAGTAGCTACGCCAAGGCATGCAAAAGAACCCTGGCGGGTGCCCGGCAAAATTATATCCCTCCGACAATATTCCACCCTAACGAGATCTCACTGTCTCCCAAACAGTTAGCTCGGATAAGGCCTGTCCCGCGCGCCCCTCACACGTATGCAAGGTTATGCAGTCGGGCCGGGATATCCACAGTAGCTACGCCACTCTTGTGGCATGCAAGAGAACCCTGGCGGATGCCCGGCAAAATTAAATCCCTCCGAAAATATTCCGCCCTAACGAGATCTCACTTTCTCCCCAACAACTAGTTTGGATATAGTTAACTGAGACAGACATCTAGTGGAGAAAGTAAAAGTCACACCGCAGGCGCACCAGGGGACCGCCCGCAAGGCGCGCCTGCCCCACATATCCGCAGACCCGCATCAGAGGTAGGATTCAGAGGATTCATAAAAGAGGCTGGCATTCAAGTGCTTCGAATATCCTCTTAGGGGATTCACATGCGATATATGTATTACTACGTCTAAGGTTATAGAGTAGAGTCACGGCAATCCGAGCCTCGCCAATCCAAGATTCCTGAATCCGGCCTGACGTGCGCCAAGTCATCAACCGAGCAAACAAGTGGCGATAATCAGGAGCTGGCTCTTTGTTTTGAGAATACTGTATCGAAGGCCACGTGTGTCCAGTGTCAGTCTGCAAAATTTTGTGACCGGTTCACGCTTATTTATATATGTATGATTCTGTAATTTTTATAGTAATACACATTAAATTTGACTTCGTTGTACATTGTAAATTACAAAATTGAATTATGTATTTTTCTCTTGTCTGTGTAATACGTTTATGTTATAATTTGAGTTTCCTTCGACCCCAATTACCTCGCATTATCACAAATCGACTGTGGATACTATAACCTCAAGTCTATGCCGATTTAAAACAAACCTGTTCTACTGCTAGGCGGAGGAACGTGAGTTAGATTGTCTCGGTCAGTGGTTCCACATACGGAAGTAAATAATGCCCGTTTGATCGCAAGTCAAACTTGCTATTAATGAATATTTATCTGTGAAACCTATATTGTTACTAAAGAATCAGTAGATAATTATTTTTATAAAGAACAAAAGGCATACTCGTACTATAGGAGTAATGCTTAGTAAGAATAATCAGTGGTATGAATGTAAATATCTTATTGTTCTCATGGATACAGTATGATGTTTTAAGGGCCATGATAAGAAGCTCGAAATTTCATATGATTGAACTTTTGGGCTAATAGTCGTTTTTGATAGTAAAAATTCATCAAACGAACTAGATTGTTTATTCTTAATTTGACTGGTAAATTAATAGCACTCTTATTACCACTCTTATTGGCGGTTCATTTGCTTTATTTCGTTATATCCTAAGATATTCCTTGAGGTATTGCCGTTTGATTTCGTATTGCATTGAAATTTCATCATTGTTATTTTAATTTTTTTAATGTTCGTGTTATTTTTGGAAGAATTTATTGTATAAAAAATGTAAGTCTCACCGTCCAACATTGGAATAATTTGTAGAGATTTTATTGAATGTTGAAAGCAATTGAGGCGCCCAAAATAATAACGGCAGATCCCAACCGACTTTATTCTTTCAGTTAGAAGTACGACAATAAATCCTGCCATGCAACTGTCTAAATATGAAGTATCAAAATAACTGGTTTATGGCAAAAACCTCAAATTTCACCTCAAAAAAATTGTCCGGAGTGAAACTGAACGTGAACGAAAACAGAAAAAGTCATTCTTTTCAAAACGAACTTCGGTTGGGATTTGCCGTATTAACCTGAGCGCCTCAATTATTTATCCACGGTTTTATAGCATTAACAATCAGTTGCCATCGTAAAGGTATAAAATAGGCATATATGCGCTTCATATATCCAAGCAAGCAGGTCCGTCCAATTCAAGGGCGAGCACTACCACGGAGGTGGGCAAGCGCAGCGACGGCGCGCGCGCGAAGGGGTATCGCCGGGGATCGATGGCTGTGCGCGGAGATGCACACTGCACCCCGCCCCTGGCCCCGCGCTCCGCGCCACACCCACGGGCGTCGACACTTGCGGAAGCATTGACAAGGAGAGGACGTAGATTTTCGGCCGCTATTATCTAATGGATCCGACACTCGCAGTCTCTCAATTCTTGTGCTATGTGGCAGGTGGACTTACTAGTGATTAATTTTCATACAATTCAGACAGCTTTTACGTAATAAATTCTTCTATAAACTACATTGACGTGTTCAATAACAATAAGTAACACTATCATATGCTGTTTATATAAGTTTATTGAATTTATTGACAAGGATTTTTAATGTATTGTTCTCTCCCAAGACGTAATAATTTCCATTCTTGGGTCTTTAGTTGTTTCCCTGCTTGTTTTATCTCTTTTCGCGTAATTTCCATTATAGGAAGTTGCTATTCGTTCGGAAAAAGGTTGAAAAGAAAGGGAGTAAAATTTCGCAATGTAGTACATAAACTTTCCGGCATCTCAGTCAAGCAGGGGCGTAGCTAGGCCGTTGCAATCGGTGCGCGACGTAGATGCCCCCGAAATCCAAGGCCCCCAATCAGGTCAACCACCGACTTCAGTAAAGATGGCCATGGGAAATGGCGAGACCAATTTAGACTTCTGCTTCCCGAGAACGTAACTACGTCTCTGCGATCAAGATTAGAACTAAGTGACATGTTCTCAACTGCAGAGATTCGTTTAGATGTTAGACATGGCCTGATGAACATTTGCAATCAGCATACTTTCAATCATTCAAACTTGGTTATTTTCACCAATAAATGTTTTATTTATAAACGCTTTGAATAATAATAATTTATTAACAATATTTCATTAATAGTGAGATTGTTCATTAATAGAATTTACAATGAATAATTTACTAACTACACACTAAAGATACACACATTTTTTCAACAAGCACAAATATTTTTCGAAACTTTACCAACTAATATGTAACTAATCTTCCTTTATCGATATTAACAAAATATTTTTACGTAATGTTTTGAAAATAGATTATTGCCTTTAAAATGTTAAACTGAGTCGTTCATGTCAAGAAGCCACGAAAAGTACTATAACATTTTATGATATTCTTAAAGAGATTTCGGCAAACAATTCTAGGAAAAGCTTTTCTTCAGTTATCTTTCAAGGATTTCCGAAGATATAGATTTCATATTTGAAGAATATGATTTCATATACTTTATAATGAAGTTACATCAGGTACCAATTCTTGTACTAAAATATATTGTCAGTTCACCTTCCACACTGCTACTAATACTATATACTATATACTGAAACAGGACCCAGATTATTTTATGGGATGCAATCTTTTACTATTGTCGGACGCTTCTGTATTGGATCTTAGTTTCCTAAAGTCAAAAAATATAATTGAAAATATTTTCAAGGAAGACAATATTGAGTCACATTCGAAGTAAATATTGTGAATTAAATGGTTTTAGACGCGTCATGTTTATATAATTATAAATAAATTTACATTTCTATTCTCGATATCAAATTAGAGTTTTTAAAAGAGGAATGAGCCCGTAACGTATGTTGAAAGTGGTATAATTCTTTTATCCATTACTAATGACACTTTTTTGTTCTTGTCCGCGTATTATCTTCCATTAATAATTTTCCCAACACCTTTACATGCAGCACATTTCAACACAACATCGCAGAGGGGGTATGATGCACTGCAATGGGGCATTATAACTTTGAATTCCTGATGAACATTTTATTTGTAATGAAAATAGTAAATGTTTCATTAAACGAGTCAAATGAATGGGACGTTAATTTATGCTCGTGATAAGTGTTTTCAAAACTTCTATTCCCAGAATGCAACGAATGTACGCAATCTTGCAGCATGTGAGTGTGAACTAGTGCCATTTGTTCAAATGCAATTTCTAGGATCTTTCACTGGTTAATTCTGTAATGACAGTTACTTTATCTGAATTATGAAAAACTACATCATTGCGTACTCAAATGCAAAACTATAGCCTTCAACGTATTCTTGAATTTCTCGATTAGTGAAGTTACTTGTAGTATTCATTGCAACGGTTGTTTATTATTTACAGAATTCGTCAAACACTGTTGATGGATTAAGGCTGTCAAAATAAAATATACACGGATGAAATGTATTCTCTCGCTACACACCAACGCAAGACTTAAACATGACTTTTTTGTTTGGGTTCCCCACGCTAAGAAATCGTGGACGAACCTGTGGATAACTCTTGCAGACAAGGAAAGAGGGAGGCTGCGTTACTAGTGCTTGCACGTACTTCTTGTAAGGCCCACTTGCGCATTAGTTATGAGCAGCGACTAAGCGAGTCGCTGGATAGGCAGCGGTTGGCGTTTGCCCAACTGCGGAACGAGCACACAGCAGATACCGTCACGATTCTCGAATACACGGCAGAGCACACAATACAGCGTGGCTCGTGACGTGAAAAACAACGAATATCTCGGCGCTGCTACCTTTGCTTAGATTCCAACTAGATCAGTGGTTCGCAGATCCATCCGCTAGTACAGCAGCTAGGGAACTCTCCTGCGGTGAATTTGATTTCGAACGCGCATCAGAGATTACAGTTTTACTGAATTGAGCTAGCAGCTTATATACTTTCGTAAAAAATAACCTATCACCTCTCGGAAAATATATTTAAATATTGATTACTTTACGAGGGATGCACTGCGTTGAAGGTAGA